TAATATATAGCAACAATAGTGTAGTTTAGGAATAACAATTAGTTATACATTAATATCCAATTGATATATCCATATATTTTTTATTTTCCTACTTGATATTATATAATAAAAAAAAAAAAATAATAATAATATAAGACAATAGGTTAAAAATTTTAGTTGACTAACAATTGAAAAATTAAATTCACAAAATCAACAGCAAGGAATGTATCCAAAAAAAAATGTAACACCATATATGCATATGTTAACTTAACATATACCTAAGTTCATGCATAGTTTAAAGAATAAAGGATTATTATTACATCTATTTTCAACTTTTAGTCTTGAAAAAAAAAATCATAAACATGTAAGAAATTATTAATATTATTTAAAATAATTTTATAATTTTACTAATATTTAACTATATGGATCTGACTTTTTTTTTCTAGAACAATAATAGGTGGTGGCAAATTCATATGCCTACAATATATAATATTATGGAATATGAAAATTGACAAATGTATTATTGAATTTATAATACTTCAGCAACTTATTCACATAAAGTTATTCAAATTAAAGATAAATAAATTTGTTATTGATCAATTTATTATTATTTTATAATATCAATAAAGAAATTTTATTTACTTTATTCTAAAATAAAATCTTGAACATCAGTTTTAAATGAACATATTACTGAACCACATAATAAAGAATAATAATGTTTTTTATATATATATTCTTTCCATATAAAATTAATTTCATACATTTCAGACTCATTTTCCATTAAAACATAAGCTGTAGTTCCTGATCCATCTTCTTTGCTACCCCATCTATTATCCTTCAATAAATTTCCTAATTCTTCATAACTCTTACTTTCTTTGAAACTAACTGTATATTTTTTTTGTGATATAGTAAAATGAAAAGTAGGAATACGATAAAATAAAGTAATAAATAATCCTTTTGAAAAAAGCTCCAACTGGATTGTTTTGTTTTTAACAGCATTACGACCAAATTGAAGTTGTTTTTTTACTTGAATAATAAATGCATTTTTGAATTGCTTGATATCATAGTTTGAAGGTGCTGTTATAGTATATATATGAGGAATTATTTTATTGTTCGGATGTTTAACTTTTTCATGTTTTATAAGAGAACTTTGAGATCGATAAGGATAGCGAAAGTCTGGCGGACAAAGATAGCAAAGATGTAAATCCATTATGTGATGGTAACGGTAACACAATTATGAAAACAACATGTGATTTGTTTATATACACAAATTATGCATTGGGCTTAATTTAGGCCAAAATTCTAAACTAGTATGCGTTTAGTCAAACATGTTTTTTTAAAAAAATTACGTGTATGATTTTTTTACGAGATCATATTTTATTTGGCTAAATAAAAGGCATTAAATTCGTACTTTTATTTTTAATCATCAATAAAA